CTCAACTTTCCATGCTTCTGACTATACTTAACGTTGGGGGTTGCTGTGTCAAGGCTAGTCTTATCCTACATCGACAACAGCACGGTTCTACGTCACAAAAGCTAGCGGCACTTTGGGGAGAGAATGGGTTAGGTTATTTAGGTTAGACATCTGGGGATCCTGCAATGTCGCAGGAGGGAGATGGTGGCCACATCGTCCGCGCTAACACAGTAACTAACACAGTTCTAAGATCTCAACAGCGCTAGATCTACAGGGAGGCATGGCTTACGGACCCCAGCTGTTAATATCGATAAAATGTCATATGACAAGGCATATGTGACTAACAATACCCACTACATGTTACATAGCCTAAGGTAGCAATGTGTAACGATGAAATGCAGGATAAGGTAGTAGCAGTAAATTGTATGCTGTTGTATGCATACTTGGGAACAAGCAAGCGTGCTTGCTTGCTTGCTTATTACGCTTGGCTTGCACTTGATTGGTGCAGGTTTGTAGAGAGGCGCTTGGCTTGCCTGAATAGGCAAGCAACTAAACGTGATATGCAAGCAAGCAAGCACGCTTGCTTGCTTGCTTGCTTGTTCCCAAGTATGGTTGTATGCTAGAGGATGCCAGCATCTATTTTACATATCTGAGCAAAGTGCGCGTCTCAAAACATGTGATAGCGCTACAGATTATCTCGTATCTGTTCCGCTCACAGCATACTAGTTAAGCCCCACCCGGAGTAAGACACAACTTAAGGCGTGAGAAAGTGGGTCTGGAATACCCTTGTAGAGGCGTTAATGAGCTTATCTGGCCGGTCGCATTAGATAACGTCCGTCCCTATGTACCGAAAAACATGGTGTGCCGAAAATAACCAATTGGATCGCAAGGATCATGGAATTCTCTACGCTCCTTGCTATCCGATTGGTTATTTTCGGCACACCGTGTTTTTCGGCATACAGTGACATACGTTACCTGCGTTTCCCGGCGCTGCAGAGTATTGGGTGAGTATGTCAGCTACAAATTCTCGCATGTGTTTTGTTCAGGCTCTGCCTTTTCCTGCATTTACACGTCCAAAGGCACCCTTGCCAGCCAAATGACTAGTCTTCGCCCCAAATTGACTCGACGGAGAGGTGCATGTGAAGAGTGCCGTCAGAAAAAAGTTCGATGTAAGCTTGTTTTGTGATGACTCTGGTACATGCTAAGGGAAACAGGTGATGGAGCAAATCCATGTTCCTACTGCCAAGTACACAAGCTTTTGTTCTATCCTGATGGTCGTCGTTAACACCATGCCAGCGGAACGAATCTCATTGCGAATACAGTATACGCCGCTCACGACGTCGTCTACAAGAGCAAAACATCCACGGTCCGGACAAGCATGTCACCGCAATGACACAGTCTTACGCAATGAGCGGTAGCACAACGCCTGATCTATCAAACCCAGCTCATATCTCTGAGGTCGCTGTTGGTCAAGATGCCCAAGGCTCAGCAAATCCTCTAGATACGCCATTCAGTGAGGTCTGCTTCTCGCAGTTGGTGTCCGATAGCGTGCACTCATATCTGGATTTTGATTTCACAGATGAAACAACAGCGGTCATCGACCAAGTCCAGACCATAGGTATGTATTAGGACACCCTTTATTTCTATCTATTGGGTCTGGGGAGGCGCATTCCCCATTGTTTTAGTTGAGGCAGTTGTTTTCTTCTCAAACAGAACGAATGACTGACTAGAGAACAGAACTAGATCGGCAAATAGGCAGTTTCCAGAACCAGGTACCGTGTTATGTTTCCAGAAATGGCACGGCCATGCTAGAATGGCTCAACATGGGTCACGGCCAAAACCTGGACCAGCGCAGTGCCGCCCAGGTCGGCAGTTTCGTAGAAGCTGAACAACATGATGACGCCACTAAGTGTACTCTTGCACCCTTCTTAGAGCGAATAGTAGCCGATAAAGCAGAGGTAAACAATCTGTTTCTCATCATCAACCGTTCATTTCTAATCACTATCGCTGCAAAGACAACCCCATTCTTAACCTGTAGAGCGTACAGAATCACTGCTCTTTTCCCAAACGCAGATGACCGGAGCCGTAGACAACAGACAGTGTTAGACAAAGTCAAGGTGCTGCTTTCTTCGGAACATCAGACTTGTCTCTCTACTCTCTTGCGCAAGATTGACTCTGGCAGAGAACATCAGAACCTGGACCTAAATGACCTTCCTATGAGGAAGCTTATTCAGAGTATGTCCAGGTCGCCTGTTATGAGAAGCTTGCTAACGCTTTACAAGGAGCGTTCAAAGAGATAGGAGGGTAAGTCAATTAATCAACAAGTGCACCATGTAGGCTTATGTGTGGGACAGGCCGGGTCTGTTTATCAAAGAACAAGATGTCACGCGTATACAAGAGCGTTTTTTCGATCCAAAAAACCTACCTATAGACGCTAGTGATATGTCATTGCTAACTGTCTCGCTGGCTTGGGGTGCCTTGTTCGAGCCAGAAGTAAGCTCGGGTTCTAGAGCAGCGCTACTAGATGCTGTGCTGGAAACTTCAAAGTTGCTACTTTGCCAGGATAATAGCATCCGTAAGTTCTTAGTAAGTTCTTCCACTCGATGGCCACAGAGGTCTTACTAACCCAATCCAGGCGCTTGTTGCTGTAGTTCGTAGAACTCCTATCATTTACGGCGAAGCACTCGACTAATCTATCAAGCTCTGTCTTGCTGAAAAAACAGGGTCAGACAACATGCCTGCACTTATCCTTGGCAGCATTTCGACTGCGGCATCCTTGAGTCTTCATTCAGAACCTGACTTACGCAAGCTCTGTGCCAACAACGAGCAAGCCATTCAGACTAAACGAGCCATGTGGCTGCTCTACTGCGTTGATAAGTCCTATGCACTAAGGTGGCAGACCTTCTCCGTACGTTCTACATATTTACCATGGGTTGCTCGAGTCAAGACTGATATACGGAAAACAGCTAGTCGGCGATGGTTCTCTTCCAACTACGAACCCACCCGACAATGTACTTGAGGGTAATCTTGCAACTACACCATTTCCAGAATGGTTGTGGATTCGGTCTCAATACTCCAAAATCTGCTCGAACATCCTGCAGCTTCGAGTAGGCACAGAGGAAAATCCATCTGAAGATCATTCCAACAGGGCTACGACACTGTCAACAACGCTCGAAGGATGGCACAGATCAACCGAGATTAACCAGATGATGCTCTCTCTAGATCATAGTGATGCCATGCGCGTTAAGCTCCAGATATCTTATCATTACTACGAGGCTCGGGTTCAGTTACTAAGTATAAGCTCACCGGATCCACATTCATCTTCTTCCACGGGGCCTATGGATTGTAGAGAACTACTCAAACAATCAACACGGGAAACGATCAAATGCTCTAGCACAATGCCATCTGAGTACCTACTTCAGGACTGGTACGTATTGCATAAAATACTCTCTTTTATAATATGCTTGTACTAACTAGTTGCATAATAGCAACCATCTCTTCATCAACAAGCTTGCTCTTTGTTTGCTTGCGTTGGAAATTCTCCTAGAGCCGGACCAGGCCAGTAGAAAGGAGAGTCGAGCTTTCCTTATTATTGTTGCTGGTTTCTTTGCTAGGATCGGTATCCTATTCCCGCAAACTACTCTCTTTGAGGAGGTATCTAACTTAATCGAGATACTCACATATCGTTGAATACATGGTAGCTCCAGAAAAAACAATTTCTGCCTGTTCCAGCTCTCTCTATGTTGTAATCTTGTCTGTGTAATCTTTAAACAACGCCTTTGTGTGTATGGAAGAGTAATGCATAGACATCGAATTCTAATGCATCTTGGATTCTTAATAACTATACTCTGCACGTGGCAGTTTGTATTTGTTAAGTTCATCCGTTATATTTCACACCTATCCTTGAGATTCTCACGTCAGTTGTGACTACTCGGGCCCAACGGCTGCGGAGCACGGGCAATTTCATTGAAATTCTGCTACAGCAGCCGTTGGGCCCGAGTACGTGAATGTGGGTCATGTACGACAAATGTGTTTCACAGTAGTGCTGCAAAATTAAGTATTTGCATTTATACTAGCACTGCTGGACAACGAGTTAGCGAACAACGAGTATGAGAGTTGCCTAATTAGTGGCATGGCGGTGCTAGGGGTAACCGCTGACAGGGCATGGCCGGATCTGCTGACGCACATACCCAAGCAGTCAGCTGTCATCAGCATATTACGCATGCCAGGCATATAAGGAGCGATATATGCAGATTGAAAAGCTAGTTAGTTAGTTAGTATCTGGGTATATAGTGAAGAGATAGCTAGCACGCTTGCGGCTACGTACTGATTTTGAGCTAACTAGTGCAGGACATATGCCGTCGCTTCATGGCGCTGACTAACTAAGTTTGGGGATTTCGCACAAGAGGCGGTTGTGTCACATGGTATTCTAATCACAAAGTTGCAGCGATTGATGCGGATTCACAATGCGCTGTGTGATGGCAAGGTGAAGAACCTTCAAGAAGAACTTGAAAACTCCGGATATAAGAACTGGAATCCACTAGAATGGCCTGACTGGCTTCTCTTAGAGATTGATAGTGATATTCAGATTCGGCATGAGCAGGTTGACGTTGCACATGCAATCATTCTGCCAGAATCGAGGGACAACACGGTGTTGCAGTTAGATATGGGTAAAGGTAAGTCGGAGAATGTTGTAGACACAAAGGGCTCTCTGACAATCAACAATGGGCAAGACATCTTGTATTGTTCCTATGGTAAGGTCCGTCCCTACGTGCCGAAAAACCCTGTGTGCCGAAAACGATCAATCAGATCGCGACGGTTAGAGAGAAGTCCATAATCCTTGCGATCCGATTGGTTGTTTTCGGCACACAGGGTTTTTCGGCACGTAGGGACGGACCTTAATGGCGATGACAAGGCTGCTATGACCGTCCTGCGCTAACTAGTTACACACAATTTATTTACGCCCGGCGGCCGAGCCGAAAGGGCTACTAACACTAATCTAACTTTACACTTCTTATGCTACGTCTCGGTCTCCTTAGCCCATCTATCTTCTTTGGCTCGCTTCTTCGTGTAGCTTGTTATCCAATTTGGAGCCCTTATATGATATCATAGCACGCTTCTTCTCTATCTAACTACTATTATTCCTCATCAGGTGCTCGTGAGTTAGTATTGCTAGTGGCAGACTATCTTAGAGTCGGCTTCTCCAAGAGATTCTCCAAGTGTTCAACGTCCTATCTTCGGCGCTGAAGCGCTGTCTACTGTTGGTTGCACGAGGCTGTAGATGA